TGGGGTATTAATTTTGTAGTTTATTACTGCTAACTTCTTGCATTTGCAAGCAGTTTAATACCAGCAGTACAACTCTAGTATGATAGAGTGATACTGATGTTCACGAAATATCCTACTTACTTTATATATAAACTGTCGCATTAATAAAAGGATAAATTTAAAAAGCCAATACGAACGCGGTTGAGGGACATATATTCCTGACATTCGATAATGTAGGCAAACGAAAAGAGATGAAAAGAAATGCATGTGGGACAAAAACAATTAACTCAGTGAGTAACAGGTGACTCAGTCTTTATAGGCATGAAAGAGATAAAAGTATACGGAAATACATACTAGCATACGCACATATACAAAGCATACCCAAAGTCACACATGAGTCAATGGCAAAGCTAAATACGCGATAAGTAAAGTGGGAAGATGACAAACAATATTCTCATCCGGAGGCTCGAACAAGCCACGTAGACGTGTGACGGGAGAGATATGCTACAATAATATTGCCTAAGACACAGACTAACCATACGAAATATTCTCCCGCCACAGTAAGTTCCCAACCATTGGTAAGACATCGCGTTTTGATCTAAAAATGTTTCGGTCAGACTATAATTTATGGACGAAACAATCACATTTAGGATAATAGGCTTTGGATTTTCAGTCAGTCAGTCAGTCAGCTACAACGTAGGACCAGGCACATGTGTGCATCGGTCCAGGTTGCCATACCGCATCAGCACAACAAGATGAACACCGGATTCATAACAGTGGTTAGGTAAAAGGTGGTAATATATGAGAGAAAGATTGCATATAGAGATATAGTACAAGAAGAAAGAATTAGTTCATAGAAAGAAAGATATGAAGCTATTTTAATCTCTTAGTTTAAGGGAAGACAGAGTGTATACACTGACGCCATTGTGATAAATTCTGAGCCATGTCACCAAGATTCTCCAACCATTGGTTACGATAGTCACGTGGACCCCAACCAAGTAGTCTGCATCTACCAACATGGCTCAGACTAGAAGTTAGTGACTTCAAGCACTGATGCCACGTTTTGGTTTGGCCGCCCCTAACTTTCTTCCAACCATTTCCAATACCGGATAGCATTGCACGTCGTGGTAATCGGTGTTCAGGCATACGTAACAAGTGGCCCAACCATCTCAGTCGATGAAGATTCATAACCTCATCAACTGATTTACCATCATTTCCTAATACCCTGCGTCTAACCTCACTATTACTTACCCGGTGATCCCAACAGACGCCAGCAATATTTCTAAGGCATCTGTGGTCAAAAACTAATAGCATACGAGTGTCTTCTACTCTTAATGGCCATGTTTCGCTGCCGTAAATTAAAACAGAACGGACTGCCGCGCAGTATACTCGTCCTTTTATTGATAGACGGATATCTCGCCTTCGCCACAGGTGACGTAAGTTGGCAAAAGCCAAACGAGCTTATCGAATCCGTGCTGAGATTTCGTCCGATACCAACCCATTAGGGCTATTCACACTTCCAAGGTAAGTGAAGTTGTCAACGCGTTCGACTACTTCACTCCCTATCCTTAGTTCAGGTGTTAACACAGACCAGTCCTGAAGCAACAACTTGCATTTAGGAGAGAAACGCATTCCAAACATTCTGGCATTGTTGCTTAGTGCTACCAGAAGACTCTACAATTTGTCAGCGTCTTCACCAAACAGGACTATGTCATCTGCGTATTCTATGTCAATAAGTGGACCTCCTGGAAGGAGATCAATACCCGAGAACTCAGTCGACGAGAAAGTTATTTCCATCAGTAGATCTATGATGAAGTTAAACAAAAATGGAAAGTGGACATCCTTGATGGACACCACTTGAGGTTGCAAAAGTAGATGACAGTTCGCCATAAGCTCTCACTCGACTAGTAGTGTTCGAGTAAAGAGCCTTTACAAGGTTTACGTACTTCTGGGGTACACCTTTCAATGACAGACACTGCCACAGAATCTCGCGGTCTACCGAGTCAAATGCTGCTTTTAAGTCAAGAAAGACCACCATTGTCGGACGTCGATAAATATGCCTATGTTCTAGAACCTGACGAATGGTGAATATGTGGTCGATGCAGCCACGACCAGGTCTGAAGCCAGCTTGGTTTTCTCGTGTTTGCAGTTCACGAGTCTTAGTTAGGCGTCTGATTATTATTGAGGCTAGTATTTTAGATATTATATTAGTTAAACTAATCCCTCTGTGGTTGTCACAGGATGATTTTGACCCTTTCTTATACATTGGGACGATAAGTGATTGTGACCAGTCAGATGGAATAACGTCTAACTCCCAGATCTTAGCTAAAATATTAGTCAACCTAATCGCTAAAATTGGACCACCATCCTTAAAGACTTCTGGAGCCAGTCCATCTGGACCAGCTGCCCTTCCTCGTTTCAGATTAACTATAGCATTTTGAACTTCAGCAAGAGTTGGAGGACCTACTTCAATGTTCCATTCACGCTGTCTGGGAATGGAGGGTAGTTGTAGAGTAGCTGAAGGCCAGTTGAACTGTTCTCTGAAATGTTCCGCCCATCGTTCTAAACGTCTGGACTGGGAGCAGATGAGTGTATCGTCTTTTTCCGAAATAATCTCACTTACACGTGACTTATTAATTCCAGTTTCTTTTATTAGTCTGTAAAGCTGTCTTGTGTTCCCTATAGTCGCTGCCTTTTCCATCTCTTCTGCTTTCGTTGCCCACCACTGCTCACGGTCGTTTCTTAGACTTTTTCTTAACCTATATCTGATTTGTTGTCGCTCTTCATCATGTTCGGAACCTGATGGGACGAGTTTGCGAAAATCCATCAGTGTGATAGACTTTGAAGAAATCCACTGGTTCTTTGAAACTCTGTGGTTTAAGTTGCTAATAGATGTCACTGCTGCTTGTATGTCTTTCCAAGCAACATCTGGGTCAGCCTCGTCTTCAGAACTACCTAAGTGTGAACTCAGTTGTTCTTGGAACCTATTTTTGGTTTTCTCGTTAGTCAACTCAGTTCTAATGGGTCTTTTCAATGTGGCTTTTTTGCGTCCGGTGAGGCGCAAGCAGATGCGTGCCTGTATTAGGGCGTGGTCGGAGTCCAAGCAGGTACTCCAGAATGAGCGACAATCTTCTACCGACCCTCTCCAACGATGACTGATGGCAATATGGTCTATTTGAGTCCATCGTTGGTTTGGTGTAGGGGGTCGCCATGTTAGACGATGTCTCTCCTTATGCTTAAGATTTGTGTTTGCTAAAAATAAACGATTGTCTGAGCACAGTTGCAGCAGACGGTCACCATTATCTGTTCGCTGTGCCGGAATGCTAAAATATCCACCTAAATGCCTTTCTGTTTGGTTTAAGCTACCTATCTGAGCATTAAAGTCACCCCTACGAGTACTATGTCTGAGCGTTTAGCTTTCTGAAGAAGTTCAGAAAGCTTTCTTGAAAAATCATCTTTCACATCATCTGAGCTGCAGTCAGTGGGAGCGTAGGCAGAAACGACAAAAAGGCAACGACGTGTGTCCCTATCCTTCCGAGTTCTTACGGAGCCGCTTAGCCAACAGCACATAGACAACTGTTGACGGGGATCCACTCTAGCAGTGCTTGTTCGGCCCTCATGCTTAGTGCTATGCCTACACCTGCCAGTCCACGAGAACTGGACATCGGGTCACCAGATACACGGAGGGTGTATCTCGTTGGCTCTCCGTTTTGCCGAGGTGAGGTCAAGTGAATGACCACACTGGAATCCTGTATGCGTGTTTCGGAGACACAGCATACATCAATGGAAAGAGACTCTAGGGTTTTAGCCAAGGAAGCCTGCTGACCGATTTGACATAGAGTGCGTACGTTGAAAGCTCCAATGTGTAGTTTGGAGCGAGGTTTCAGTAGACCTGGGACAGAGTTTTGAGCACTAGAATCGTTGGCTATGGTGACACTTGAGGAAGAAGCCGAAGGAGGAAGTTTAGGGTTGAAAGTCGATGTAGGAGGAATAATAGGAATTGAAGAGGAAGGTTGATTATGAATACAGTGGTCTTGGGTGCTGTTAGAGGTATGAGGGCGGTTATTACTTCCCGATTGCCCACACCGTGGAAGGGTTCTTCTGGAGGTACCTGAAAAGGAAATTGGATTAGAGGCGGTCTCAGCGACCTGAGAGCGACACCGCAGTGCCCAAGGGACAACTGCTTGAGGCCGGTCGCGCACGGCCTTTTCGTGGAAGGTTTTTGACGTGTTAGCTCCGTTCTTCAAAGAGCCTTACCGCCGGAGACGGAAATCCGTGAGGTAAGGTGTGCATTTTTAGGGTCGACCTTTTCTAACCCCACCGCTCCTTGTGGGAAGGCAGCATCGCTGTCATGCTGGTTGTCTGAAGGAAACACCTTACTGCTGTCACACCTCTGTACAGTCAGCAGTACGACTTCGCCTTCGGACCTTAGGTTTGTTGCTTTTAGTCTTACCGCTCTTCAACCGACCTATCTGACATGGTAGGACCTTGAGGAACGGTTGTTCCAGCCAGTATAGCTCGGTTGCTTCATCACGATAGGCAAGCCCGACCACCGCGTCAGGGTAGCAACAACGGTCAGGCTTTGGATTTTGGCGTGATATCTATTAATCCGTTCGGCTAGATAGCGTCTTATCATTCTACCTGATGTCGATTCGTGATGAAAACCCTAAATCTAATTCCTAACTCTAACCAACAACTGTAAATTATAATTCTAATCCCTCACACTGGTTAATAATCAGTCCTAGTTAGTGGGTGGACACTCTGAAGGTCAGTTTAGTGTCACTCAAAGGTCGTCCATAGATTATAGTCTCACCAATGTTTCCTTCAGTCGAAACATGTCTTAATCAGCCTGCCTGACATGGAGAAATCGTGAGGAACAGGTGTGGAGGTTAATCATGACAAAGTATGATTATCACCTTAATATAACAACTATGGTAGAAGTCTTACCATCTAGAATACTACTAATTTAAAATGCCTACAGGTTATGTGACATTTGAGAGTCAAGAATAACAACTAAAATAAAGTTTCAACTTTCCTCACTGAGGTCCTATACCTTTTAATTCGTAAAAGCTGTAATTATTCAAGAGGACAACGATCAATCGCATACTACCCGATGATGGAAAAAGGCAAAGTATGAGTGGAGGAAATCACACTGATTACAAACAAGTTATAAAAGAGGGAATACAAATAAATTATCAACGAAATATAGGATTATGTACATCAAATTAGTTCTGTATAAAAATCAAAAATCGAGATTGGATTACTGTCTTAAAATCTTAATATCTGCAAGCAAATATTTCATACCAGAGGGTATGAAGCTGCACTGGCGACACCACACATATTATGAGAATCCTTTAAGATTTTGATATAACCGTTTTCACCCCAATCTTCACCCCAACTATTCTTTATAAGCCAGTATGAATGACCATTTTCTTTTCCATAACCCACCACCAGAACCCCATGATCAAGGGCATCTAACGTACCTTCACAACCAATATCTGAATAGACACCTAAATAATAAAAAAGTAACAATAGTAAACATATACACATTTTCGTGTAAAAAATAAAATTCTACACAACCTCAAAAATAAAGATTTTCAGTTAGTGCTTAACTTGACTGCTCTGATATCAGCTTGACTGACAGTGGCAATAGGAAGCTCAAATGTAATATTACCATCGACTGAAATTAAAACTAGTAAACAAATTTATAAGCTTTATGTATACAACTGTTTCAAATAACAGAACAAAATGAGATATTCAAAATTAAGTACTCCTAATGAAGTTTGAATGGGCAGAAACCGTAGCAGCATATTATAAGATCTCAAGTTTCCAAACAGGAAGGTGGTAAGGTATTAAATTATAGCTTAGGGTTGAGATTTCCAGTAAGATTAGGAAAATGGCGAACATTATCCAGCTTCACTAAACACACTTGATTACGCAATGAGCCGCACCAAGCACTTTAACATACAATCTGCCTTGGGAGCAGGTGCTTTGTAACTTAGCGTAAGCACCATAGAATATACGCTTTCCGGTTGCCTAATAGGCATTTTGGTTGACTTCGAGAATTCCAAGAACCAAATATTACCAACTTTTACTTGATCAACGATAACATACACGTTATTTATCACTGCGTTATAAATTAACACAAAATACGTGGTGTAATTTTAGTATTGATCGGGCAGTTCAGGGTCGTCAGTATATCAGAATTTTACAGACAGCTGTCATAAATCCATTGTACACAACTAATGAGAGTATAAACTACGCAAGAGCATAAATGCTTACATAAGAATTATTGTCCCTCGCCATTACTTTGTTTTTTACTACATAACGACTAAAACTGAGGGCTATTTAAAATGTAATTAAAATATAGATGTGCAACTGTTTATTGTGACAAAATCTTCAAAGACCTTGCCATTGAATGAGAATAATAATCATTATAAATGAAACCACCTACCTGATTTGTACATAGAAAAACTGGGAAGACCAGCATTAATGGCAACTGAAACAGGACCTTTTGTCGCCACAGCATCCATTAATGCACGCTCGTCACCTTCGTGTATGCTTACATAGCCTGAAACCTGAGCCATAATGTTTGAAGCGTTGAATAAACATTTCATATTTTCCGTTCCATTACCAGATATATATGGATAGGAAATTTCAGAATCAATGCCCTCATTGTCGCGAACATATTCGAACGCTAAGTTCATGAGACCACCAGAACAACCATTATTCCCGTAACTCTTGCTACAATCAACCAATTGCTGCTCGGACAAATTCACTAGATGGTTGGTTTTACGATAGTGTTGACCTTCTATAGCTCCCGTTGTAGAAAATGCCCAACAAGAACCACATTGACCTTGATTTTTTACATCGGTTACTGCCCCTTCTCTTCGCCAGTCAACGCTGCCCGGGAGTTTAGTATGTTCTGATCTAATAAACGTTGATCCTTTATGTTTCATAGCACCACCAGTAACTTTATATCCACGCAACTTCTTAAGTTCATAGTCAGTCTGCAGGTGTGAATGACGCAAAGCTAACTTACTTTATCAGTGAATTCATTGACACCCATTTTGTACGTCACTTTGCCTTCTTGATAGGCATGGTTGTGCTCCACCATCTTGACGAAATTAGCCCCGAATATAAAGAATCGCCTTGTTTCCTCATGAATGCTATCATAAACTCGTTTAAAGTGAATTTTGAAAAATTTCCAAGCTGATATAATGTCAGCAAGCAGCTCAACATTTACAGAGGTAGACACACCACCTTCAATTACCTGCTGCTCGAGAAGGTTACCTAAAGATAATGAAGGTTCGAGATTTGACCAATTTTTGTAACCAGGATCACAAACAACAATTACAAACAAAGCACTCAAACATAACAAGCACCGCATAATTGGGTCGAGAATTAACACTCCCTCCGGAATATAGGCCAGAGACTACACTAAGGACATATTACAGTGACTGATATAAACAAAGTTTGACATATGATTTACTATCATTTTTTGTATGTTATACTTAAAATTCTTAAACTTTCAGTTATTTTTGAACTTCTGACGTCAACGAGACATTGCTGTTTCGTAACGTAACATTTCACTGTTCACATACAATTATAACGTAATTGGAAAGCACTATCTAGATTGTGGCTGTAAGTCCCCAAAATCAATAGCTCTGTAAGTCTTCGACATCGGATGCTGACCACGTTAGCTTGAATTAACTCGATTAGCTGAAGGCGCCCGGTCATGCACCCCCACCAGATCACGAGTGGGAACGCAGTGCTCAACTTCTTCAATCGCCAGCCAATTTAGATCAGTCGTTTCTTGGTATATTGATAGCCTATCAAATTTATCATCGAACTTCCTCGCTTCTGACTTTTGGTTTTACTGAGCGGACATTATTCAATCACAGAGGGTGTTACTGGTTTATGTGTTGTCAAACTAGAAATACCGGTGTCATCTTTAATATATTACTCATATATATGTGTTAATTATTTGTTTCTAATTTGTTCAATCATTGTGAATTCTATTTTCAGAAATTAGTCCTACAATAGACACATCATAAATTCGTATTCACTAAAAACATAGTTCAGTTACCATCTACGAAACAAACATGCGTCGTATTACTTTTGTAGAATATGTCACTAATTAGTGGGACACAGTTATATTACATGCGGCCTCTGTATGTCTTGAAGAAGCAGGAAAAAAGTCCATCGAAGTCAATTGTTACTCAAACAATTTCTCTTTCTCCGATAAGTCACATATTAATATGTCAGTTCCGTTAAAAATGTTCGTAATCAAAACGGTTAGAACCTGCGCTCTCCAAAGATCTCTATATACCGGTCAGTACAAGAAGACGTCCTCAAAGACATTGTACTCAATTCTACGACTTAAATGACTTTTCCTCTTTAGTAACGATGACAGAAATACTTGTCCGAACAGAGGCGATAAGTAAACAAAAAGCAGTAGCTCGGGAAAAACGTGCAGTTGAACTTAATAATAACTCCTCTGCACTCACCATACTACTCCAAAATAAACTTAAACGTTCTAAATCGAGAGGGAGTATATTCATTAAAAGCAAACAAGTATACGAAGATCCCAAACTTGTAACAGAATTATTTAGTGAACATTTTTGTTTCTCACTAACTAACGAAAAAACATTTATTGATTCAGAACCAATCCCAGTGACTCCCTGTGAAATTACTAATGTAGAATTCAGTGTACAAAATATCTCCAAGGCAATCAGTACATTGAAACACTCATACACTGATGGACCAGATGGTATTCCATCTAGCATGATAAAACGTGGAGGTGATGATATGTGTGTTTTGCTTCTCAAACTATTCGCGATATCACTCTTCAGCGTGTTACCCTACTGCCTGGAAAACTACATATATCATTCTCAAAATTAAAACAGGACCTAAGGCAAACGTTGAAAATTACCGGCCTATACACATAACTTCAATGATATCCAGAGTGATGGAAAAAGTAGTTAAGGAGGCTGTAGTCCAACATCTACTAACTAATAATCTCATCTCGACCTCCCAGCATAGATTTCTTAGGTCCAGATCATGCGATACATGCCTAGTAGATTACCTGAATGATATAACTATGAAACGAGACAGCGGACTCCTTGTATCAGTCCTATTCCTAGACTTTAAGAAAGCCTTTGATAAGGTCCCACACAAAAGGCTACTCGTCAAACTAAAGTCCTTCGGAATACACAACCCACTGTACTCATGGTTTGCTTCGTTCTTAACAGAACGCAAACAGATGGTAAAGTACAATGACTGTCTCTCGTCCCCTAGACCAATCACCAGTGGAGTCATCCAGGGAAGCGTATTAGGTCCACTTATGTTTCTTATGTATATAAACGATATATGTAACACCATAGCTTTTGGGAGACCATACTTATATGCTGATGATCTTAAAATAGTATACAGCTATAAGCCTGAGACACTAAGTGAAAGTGTATCCCAGATCCAAAAGGACCTCAATAACCCAACTATATGGAGTGAAAAATGGCAATTACCATTTAACCTCAACAAGTGCGGGATCATGCACTTTGGAAAGCATCCCTATAAACCGCAACTTCACTTAAATGAAAGTAGAGTCCAAACACTCGAATCAGTACGCGATTTAGGAATTAATTACACAGGAAGCCTGAACTTTGAAGAACATGCCTTCGCTATTATTTCTAAATCTAGACGGCTAATTGGCTTGATAATGAAAAAATTTTTTAAAACAGAGGGTGAACTTACTCTCTACAAAATATGTGTACGACCCTCCCTTGAATACTGCTCTTTTGTCTTCTCTAATATGAATATTACAGACAAGATAAGAGTAGAAGATGTTCAAAGACGTTTCACACGTCAACTACTAGGATGTAACTCGAATCTCGATTACACAGACAGATGTAAGCATATATCTTTAGAACCTTTATGGCACCGTAGGCTAAAAAACAATTTAATATTTCTCTACAAAGCGATATATGGGCTCTCCTTTCTAACCTCCTGCACGACTACTACCCACGACCCAGCCTATAGACTTAGAAACAACGCATATACACTACTTACCGTAAAACACCAAAAACAAATGCGTTGTAAGTTCTTTACAGTACGGTACAGTTTATTGTGGAACAGGCTGCCAATGCCTATCCGTAATTGTGATACGTTTATCAGATTCAAAAGGCTAATAACCCTATTTCTAGACTCCAAAGAGCTTCAACATTTCCTTGAACTCCCGCCCACCAATGAGGCACTTTATTACGGACCGCCTAGTATCTAGAAAGAACAAAATTATAACAAGTCCGACTGTTACTAATATGAATATAACCAAATCACAGAACATATGGCTTATCCTTTCCTATTATTCATTGTTTATTAATCATGACTTCATGCTCCTAACCCTAGCTTTCAGTTCCCAAATCTCTACAGGTTAAATGTACATTATTCTTCCTAAAAGTCATGCCTTATTTTCTCTACTGCAAGTAGACAGATAGCTCAATCTTATGGATGCTGATCTACTAAGGCCGATCATTCAAAGCTCAAAATTTGGCCACAAAGTCTTGTGAGTTTGTCAATGTTTTATTTGTCTTACCCTGAAATCTTTTTTTTGTTTCTACAATTTTTTACCCTCTCATATCTTTTGATTTGCTATTAGTCCTTACTTCATTAAACCATTAGTTATTTTCATAGCAGTGTGATATACTATGTGGACATCTAACCCATAAAACAGACTTTTCAACTATCTGATTCGCTTGTAACATGGACCTAGTAGAGACAGTGTATTCCAACTATGGGCTTTGATTAAAGCAGTATTCATACTTACCACAAACGTAAGAGAGCCTAACATCACAAAAGGAGGGAGGGTGGCGTTACTGACCAGCAAACATGAAGGTGGGGAGATAACTTCAATCCACCCATGTCTGTAGGGCAGAACATTTCGTTTAATTACGGCTCCCTATGGTTTAGTGGGATGTCACGAACTTATGGTATTGAAGCTGATTTATCACGCAAAATACCTCTTTAAATCGTGTTACGAACATTGAATTGGTTTCACTTCCTACCCAGAAATCCTATTACAAGCAAACTAGACAATACGCTAATATACGAAGCCTACTCAAGACCCTATAATAACTGGGGAGGAAAATATTTTTTAAAAAAACGAAAGGGGCTCTAATAGCTTCGATAATAAAGGGAAGACAGCCAATTGTATATCACAATACTGTTTCTAGCACTATATTTTATTTTATAATCACACATAATCTTATACTCTCAGCTCTTTTCCGAACCGCCCCCATATATCAGTTGTATGTCCACTCACACCTTGTTAACACTTATTTTCTTTAACCTATTAAAATGCTCTTTCTTAACATATACCTTAATAAAGGAAAATTAGACTGAGTAATCATACCTTAAACATTTCTTCATGAATATTGGCTACTCTGCCTCTCGTGTTTTCTTTTACTTGCTCCCTCTTTCAGCCCCCTTGAGATATGGAACTGGTGACTTCATCCCGCACCATCCTCAAAACCTTGGATATCCCAAAGGGACATAAGGTTGCGATTTCTAAAAGCTCATACCTTCAATAAACCTATCCTTGACCATCAGTCGCACATTTGAAACGCAACTTTCATGAAGCGCGCCAACTGTGGTACTGATTAAAACCATCTACATTCATATCTTATAAATTATCAACCCAGCTATGTAATTTATTACAGTGTATATTGTATCATTTGTATCAATTCGATCTTGCCTGTAAACTGGTATGCCTCATGTAACAAACTGTTATTTGAGAATAAATTATTATTATTATTGTTTGTGGTTGTATACTAGCAACTTATATAATGTCCAAAAACAGTTTAACGTGGAATCGCCCCAACCATCAGCACTAAGTCACTGTGAGTCCCTTCCTGTTTATCCTGTATTAACTTTTTACTCTTCAGTACACTATGTTGACTAGCAATTAGTATTATTTCTCCACTCGTTCTCATATCCACAACTCATATACTTCTATACTTTTTCCGCCTGCTTAAATAAACAACTATCCTACAATATACCCTTCTTAACGCTTATACTCTGATTGGCAAACTATACTTTATACTATAGTCAACAGAGGCACTGCATCGATGCTTTACCCACAGTCCATAGCTTGTAACTGTCTGATAAGCTTGTAAAATGGTACTTATAGAAATAGTGCTTTCCAACAGTTTTTGAAACAGAGGATTGTGCGAGGAATGACGTATATACAAAAATAATGCTAAATGAGCCTAACATCACAAAAGGAGGGAGGGTGGAGTTACTGACCAGCAAGCATTGATGGTGAGGGCGATAACTTCAATCCACCCATGCTTGTGGGGACAGAACATTTTGTATGTATCAGGCTCCTCATGACTGAGAATAATTCAATCAATCTGTGATATAGATTGTTTTCCTACGCTCACCACTCAAACTCATGTTTCCAATATTATGCTGGATTAGCTATTCTACTAAGACAAC